CCTGGCTATTAATGTTCCTGGCCCAGAATAGGTATTTAATAAATGTGTTGAAGTAATTAGTGCATATTGCTTATTATAACAATGCCCTGTTAAGAGAGGGCTTTGGATCAGGAATTGCAAGAACTCAATTCTCCTGCCTTTTGGGTTGCAGGACCCTGGGCATTTTTTTTTTTTTTTAAGATTTTATTTATTTATTTGACAGAGAGCGAGAGCAGGAACACAAGCAGGGGGCGTGGGAGAGGGAGAAGCAGGCTTCCCGCCGAGCAGGGAGCCCGATGTGGGACTCGATCCCAGGACCCTGGGATCATGACCTGAGCCGAAGGCAGACGCTTAACGACTGAGCCACCCAGGTGCCCAACATTTTTTTTTTTTTTAAACCTCTCTGAGCCTTAGTTTTGTTTTGTTTTCTTTCTTTCTTTTTTTTTTTTTTTTAAGATTTTAATTATTTTTATTTGACAGAGAGAGAAAGAGCACAAGTAGGCATAGCACCAGGCAGAGGGAGAAGCAGGCTCCCCACTGAGCAAAGAGCCCGACATGGGACTCGGCATGACCTGAGGTGAAGGCAGCCGCTTAACCGACTGAACCACCCAGGCGCCCCTGAGCCTCAGTTTTCTAAGAGAAATACCCGTTCTCCCTAAATCTCCAATGTCAGATTTAAATGTGTTATATGAATGTAAGAGATTTCTAACATTTCAGCAGGGAGAGAAAGTATGTGGTTGTGAAGTTACTGTGGGAGTAGCTAAGCTGTGTATTCTTAGCACTGTCTACATTCCTTTTAGGAGTTGTGTGAGCAAATCTGTGTCCCAGAGGAGTCATCATTTCTTTTTTATTATCTTTGGAGCCAGTTTACCAACCCAGTTTCTCTTCTTGCAAAGGGAGGTTGGCCCTAAAATAGCCAGAACTCTGTTTTGTGGGTTTTTTTTTTTCCCCTAAGCCATGAGAACAAAACTTTCTTTGGTACCAGAACTATGACTCATGTCTGAAATATGTGTGTGTACAGAGGACAGGAGAAGAAGGAAAGTCAGGAAATTCATCTGGTTGCACTAGACTCCAGCTCCAGTTACCTTCTATCTGGAACTTGGATAGTGTGACCCTGAAGCAGCATGTACCTTGGTTAGCCCAAGTACTGATAACCTGAAAGGTTGATCCTCTCATGTCTTCAGAAGAAAAATCATGAAAAGTCACTGAAAAATATATATGTTTATTATGTTGGTATAGTGGGTCTTAAAAGCGGGATTGAAATAAAAACTTTGGCATTCTGATGGACTAGCATAGTAAAGAACTTTGCTTAACAATAGAATATTATTCTATATGTGGATTAGTAAAAGTTTTACTTTACCAAATGTAAGAACATAAGTAGTATAAACTCAGATAAAGGGAGAGGATGGATGTTTGGTGGGAGAGAACCTGGGGCAACTGGTAAACCTCAAGCTGTCCAACTGTAGAATTTGATAAGAGATGAGAGGTAGGCATGGAGCAAATCACTGAGGACATTGTAGGCTAGGCTGTGGTAGAGTGACTGTAACCCCTAAGCAGGACATTCTGTTAATTATTATGCCAGGACAACAGGAATAATTGAACTGTTCCAGGTAAATCAGGTCATATGGTCACCTTATTTGAAGGTGAAGAAGAGCCATTGATATGGTCACATACCCTACAAGGAACGGGAGGTTAAAAAAATTTTAGGCAGGAGGCTTGGGCAAATCTAGATAATCTTGACTGGAAGGGAATGAGAGAGGTGGGCTAATTGCCAGATGAAGATGTGTAATTGAAAATGATTGTTGTTGGTTAAACAGGGTAAAGAATTTGAACATCTGTAAATGCTGTTGGGAAAGAGCCAGTAGTCAAAGAAGTTGACAATTAGTAGAGTGAGAGACCTAAGGAAAGGTGATAGGGTATGGAGATCTTTTCCATATGACAAGTGAAAAGGAAGCAAGAGTGGTTATAGATGTGGGTGAACTTTCAGGGTAATAGCAAGACCTGATGGGACTAGGAGGTTGTTAGCTAGCTTCCAGAGTTTTCAAAGAAGCATTTGGACAGAGGAAGGGTAAAGTGTAATGGGCAAGAAAAGAATGCTTTCTCCCGTATAGGTTGTCACAGGTACTTAGGTAGAAATATTTCTGAAGCACAGCTTAGGTAATTAAGGGCCATTGAAGGAGAGTTTCAAGAAACAAATGGTCAGTAGCAGCAACAGTGCTTTAGACTGGTGGTATATGACAAAACTGGAGACTACTAGTTTTGTCTGGATGGCTCAGTCGTTAAGCGTCTGCCTTCGGCTCAGGTCCTGATCCCAGGGTCCTGGGATCGAACCCTACATTGGGCTCCCTGCTCCATAGGAAGCCTGCTTCTCCATCTCCCACTCCTCCTGCTTGTGTTCCTGCTTTCGCTATCTCTCTGTCAAATAAATAAATAAAATCTTAAAGAAAAAAACAAACTGGAGACTACTAAAGCAGTCATTGGAGATCTGTGAGAGTGTAGTTTGGTATAGTGGTGGGAAAGAAGCTAGATTGCAGGAGTGGATGAAAAGTTAAGGCGTGGACAATTTCCAAAAAGCTCCTCTGTGAAAGCAGTGAGAAAGGAGGTGGTAGCTAGGGGGAGATATGGGGTTTTGCTTTTGTTTAACAAATGGTTGGGAATTGAGCTTGAGGAAGGACATTAAAAAAGTGCAATTACTTGGTGTGTTTGGTTTTTCCCCTTGGGGTGTGGAAGAAATGTTGGGGATGAGTACATACAGGGCCTCTGTGTTAAGGAGGAAGGGACCATTTGATGACTGTGAAAAGGTTGGTTGGGCCAGATTTTGAATAGTCTTGAATGGCATTATAAAGAAATGTTGACTTTATCTATTAGTCCAAGGAAGGTTTTAAATATCTTTGTCTCCTGTAAGAGTCTGTGCTTCAGAAATACTACTCTGGCAATAGCAAAGACTGGAGTAAAAGGTAGCCAGACTGAAAGGAGACAGATTGCCTATTAAGCATGTAGTGATGAGAGGCTGAATTAGGGCATTGGCAGTTCATGGGATGGAATAATAATATTTGATAGTTCAGAGGTGGAATGAACACAACTTGTGGTGATGGAATGAAGGAGAACAGGTGTAGAACCTAGAGGTTTCCATCTGAGTTGACGAAGTAACTGGTAAATTCACACTAAGAGACCCAAAAGAAAGAGCAAACATTTGGTAGTGGGGTGATTTATAACAGCTTTATTGAGATATAATTCACATACAATGCAATTCACCCATTTAAAGTATACAATTCAGTGCTTTTAGTATATTCACAGAGTTGTGCAACCATTCCCACAATCAATTTTAGAATGTTTTCATAAACCCATACCCATTAGCAGTTGCTCCCTTTGTTACCCCACCTCTTCCCCTCCCCCCAACCCTAGGCAACCATTAATGTACTGTTAGTCTCTGTGAATTTGCCTATTGGACATTTTATATAAATGGAATTATATGGTCCTTTGTGACTAGCTTCTTTCACTTAGCATAATGTTTTCAAAGTTCGTCCATGTAGAGATCACTTTCTACCTTGTATTACGCTCACCTCTTTGCATGTTTTATCTCCTCCTCTGCAATATTAGTGCCTTGAGGGCAGGGACTATTGTTACATATTCTAGAGCTGTATCAAGCACATATTTTTGTATTCAGTTGTAACTTAGGAAATATTTGATACATCATAAGTTAGAAGTTAACTGAATAACCACAAAATTAAGTTAACCAGAATGATCTGCTCCCATACATGCTTACCCACTGAGATGTGTTTATGTTTGCTGTCATGGAATAAGTAGGTACCGTGCCAGTGGTTCTGGTTCTGATATTAATCGTGTGACCTTGGGTAAATCATTTTACTCTCAGGAGACACTTAAGTGAAAATAAGGATAAAAATCCCAACCCAAACTGAAACTGAGGAATAACTAAGATAATTCAAGTTGATGGGATTTGGATAGAGTTGGGGTTTATCCAGACAGCCTTCTTCTTCTCAGAAGAAGAGATTAATAAATGTTTGGCTCTGTGACCCACTTCTCTTAGGATAGGAGTAGCCTTATTCATGGGATTAGGTATTTTAACCCCTTGATTCTTTTCAGCCCCCATTTTCAAGGTCCTGGCATGCTGTTGCTTTTGTCACCATCCTGGGGCATTTTACCTGTCTCATGTTCTCTAGCTTTTTTCTCTGAAATACTTTAGGTGCTTATTTCTTAAGGACACTAACCAATGCACTCCTTATTTTGCATAAATTCCTGTCTCTTAATTCCTGTTGTCTTAATGGGCTGCTTGTAGTTGAATATAAAAAATTAAAAGTTTAAAACCCACCCTATCCACCTTCTTGAAACAAACAACTTATAAATGCAATCCCCTCCTCCATCTTTTGGGGGGTTGTTCGTGCTTTTACTTAAAAAACACATATTGGGTGTGTACTTGAAGGTCATGTATCAATAAATAATATTGTCTTTGACTTCCAAGATCTCATGGCAGTTCAGGGGAGGAGGCAGACATATAAACAGATAATCACAGCAAAAAGTGGAAAGTGCAGTTGCAGAGCCATGTGCGAGTGGTTATGGGAGCACACTTGGAAGAAGTGATTGGGACCGTGTTTTGAAGCAAGTGTCACCTGACATTTCTGCACTAACAAGTGTAACACAGAAGCAGTCTGATGAAGAGGACCTGCATTCTTTGGCCTCACAACAACCGGGTGTGGTGGAGGTTTCTGGCTCCCCATTTTAGAGAGTAGTCCAAAGCTCAGAAAAACCCAGTGGCTGACTCTTGAACATAGCTTCTAGACTCAGCTTCTGTGTTTGTCCCCTCCCCCTCTCACGGCAACCATGCCCCTTATGCAAGAATAAAAGGTAGCCATGCAGAGTACTACAGTGCCCTGCCATCCCCTTTTCTGTGTCGAGCCTACTGCCAGTGTCCCCGGTGCATTGAGCATTCCAGGGCTGTAGCAGTAGTGAATATTGCTGATGTCATTGTTTGCCTTATTGGGATTTTGCTCTTTGTTTCACAGGGAGCTGTGATTGGTATAGACGATGAGGACGACAGCACCTTCACAATAACTGTTGATCAGAAAACCTTCCATTTCCAGGGTGAGCTAAAAGAAGAGATTCTTTCTCTTCACAGTCCCAACTGCTTCTTTTCTCCTCTTTTGGGTGTTTGCTGGATGCCTTGAATGGTTTTGCAACTGATTCTGCATGAATGAGTGCACAGGAACGTTCTGGATGAAGTGGTACTGCAGGTTAGACAGGGATTTGTATCTGCAGTGGATACAGATCTGTTTGAGGCGACTGTGGATCTGGCTGCAATTGGAGATTAAAAATATAAGGGATAAAAATCAGTGAAGGGAGAGAGTGATGGGCTGCTGCTGCTGCTGGCTTGTGCTTACAGAAGGTTGCTGATCTTCTTTATCGAGGAGTATGGTTCTGCCTCTGCATGAAGAGTCTAAAGACTGTGAAGGTTGCAGTGTTTGTCGGTGTAAAACTCAAAATGTAAATTAAATTGAAGCTAGTGGCAACCTTTGGCTTAAAGGTTTTGCTTTGCTTCAAGAACTGCAAGTTTGCATTCATTTCATCTGCATTTCTGTGTCTTGTCTGCCAGCCGTCATTTCTCTGCTGTTATCCTTTTTATAGTTAATAACACCAATGCCATCTGCCACTGCTATGTTTCGACATTGCATGTTATGGTTCACCGGTAGAAAGGGTAAGATACTGTATGATCATTCTCATTTCATCTTGCTTTGAAAACTCTAAACCAGCAAATAAAAGCGATTTTAATGATACCATCCTAATGTACCTCTCATCTACTAGGAGTGTTTATAATGTTTTTGTTATTTTGCCTATCCAGAGTAACCTCTATTTTACATTTAAAGCAGTCCAAGAAACTTAGAAATGAGAAGCTTTGGAGATGTTAGTAGTTTCTCTGAACTACAAGTGACAATGCACTGTGATAGATGCTAGGTATACCAGGGTAAATAAATATTAAATAAGTTGATAGCTTAAAAATGTTTTGATTATGAAGTCTAACAGTGACCAGGTATGTTATATGAGATGTTGCGACAGCTATTGTCCTTCCATTGCTAGGATAGTATACTGAAGTTATTTTTCTTCATTGTCTTGTTTAAGAAATTGACACATAGAAATGAAAGATGCAGCTTAAATACGATAGAGACAAACCAGTATAACTCAATTGTGATATCTCTAATGCTTTTAGGAAAAAGCATCCTTAAAATATTTATGGTGTTTGGTCATACTCTTTATTCAGAGCTGCTTAATTAATGATGCTTTCCTGAAATTTTCCACCGCATTTAACTTTATAAAACATTTTAAATATTATGAAAGCACAGGGCCTTTATTTTTAGGTTGAATATATAATGCTGCTTATAAACTAAAGCAGATAACACCCCCGCACTGAAACTCTTTACTTGATTAAAGATGAATACTTTAATGTGTTTCAAGTAATAGCTGCTGGATGCAGGTGAAGGCTGCAGTATGGAATTCTCTCCTCTGCAGTTATTAAGGAGATAACTCCTTTGGACTTCCAGAAGCTGTATTATTTGCCTGTTTAAAAGAGAGGAGACTCAGACCTCTAGAGCAAGGGCACCTGTACCTTCTGATTGACTTTTAGATTATTTATGTTAAATAGTCTCATATTTATGTGGCTTCCTTGTAAAACAAGCAATTCCTTTAATTCCTTTAATGATTTAAATGACAAGTGTTACTAAGACTTAAATGTATTTTTAAAATGATTTCTTCTTTTTTTTTAATTTTATTTATTTATTTGAGAGAGAGAGAATGAGAGAGAGAGCACATGAGAGGGGGAAGGGTCAGAGGGAGAAGTAGACTCCCTGCCGAGCAGGGAGCCTGATGCGGGACTCAATCCAGGGACTCCAGGACCATGACCTGAGCCGAAGGCAGTCGCTTAACCGACTGAGCCACCCAGGCGCCCTAAAATGATTTCTTAGTTCTAAGACTGTCAGATTGATTATTTTCTACTGTTATAGTAAGGGGAGCTTCAGGCAACATGACATTATCTGGTTTTTGTAAAGAACTCACCAGGACACTCTATATTCTATATATTCTTGGCAATAATGAGAGTTATTTCACATAGGCCCTTACTCATAAGGAAATCTCTGAAAATTTGATAAAAAGCTCTCAGTGTCTGATAGATCTTACTTCTTGATTAGAATTGAGAACAAGTTTGGCTGATATATATTAGCATATGCTTAAATGTGTTGAAGTTTTTATTTAATTTATCAGAATTTTTTTAAAGCAAAAAAAGTATCAATTGACATATCTCTAAAGCTAATTCTACTTACTATGAACTATTAAAGGGAAAGCTAGAATTTGTTGAGATACATTCATTTATTCAACATCCATTTTAGACATTATTTTAAGTTCTGGGGATACAGTAGTGAACAAAACAGATAAAATTCTTTGCCCTCTTGGGCCATCCATTCTGGTAGAGGAGAAAGCCAATAAAATAAAAAGTTACTTATACTTAGTGTGTGTGTGTGTGTATGTATATGCTAGTAAAATATAAATAAGAGAGTGCTAAATCCTGGGGAGAAAAAAGTAAAGTAGGAAAGGAGAAAATGAAATAGAAGTGAGGTTGTGTATAGGTGGAGGGAGGTGTTGAAATTTGAGAGTGGCCAGGGAAAGACTCATTGGGATGATGCCCTTTGGTGAAAGACCTGAAGGAAGTGAGGGAACAAGTTTTAAGGCTTTGTTGGGGATGGTGGTACATCATTAGTAGGCAGAGGGAACAGTAAGTGCAAAAGAGTGTGCCTGCCATATTTGAAGAACAGCAGGGAGGCCAGTTCTAGTTGGAATGCAAATAATCATGGGAAAGGGTAGTGGGAAATGAGGTATACGAGGTAACAGAGAAGTTGATCATGTGACCTTGACTGCCATAGAAAGAATGTTGAATTTTATTATGGAAAAGAGAAGCCATTAGAGGGTTTTGAGCAGAGGAGTGACATGATGTGATTTTTTAACAGTATCACTCTGGCCACTCTGTTGAGAATAAAATGCAGGAGTCAGGGACAGAAGCAGGGAAACTAGTTAGGCTATTGTAATTCAGAAGAGAGGTGATGGTGGCTCCCACAGGGTAGCAGTGGGGATAGGGAGGCAGTGAGAAATGGTTAAATTACATATGTATGTTTAATCAACTTTATTGAGGTATAATTAATATACAATAAAATGTACACATTGTAAAGTTCAATGAGTATTGACAAGTTTATTTAGTCATAACTGCTACCACAATCAAGGTATTGAACACTTCTATCACCCAAAAGATTCCTTTCTTCTTTCAGTCTCTACTCCCAGCCGCTGGCCCCAAGCAACCACTGATTGACTTTCTATCACTATAGATTTTTCTTCTGGAGAGTTTCACGTAAATGGAGTCATACATTATGTATCCTCTTTTGTCTGGCTTTATTTTAGCTCAGGATAATATTTTTAATATTCATCCATGTTGTTACATGTATTGGTAGTTTTTTCCTTTTTATGTTGTTAAGTGTAGTAGTGTGTCATATGATACTGTATTTCAAAGGTTAAACTATGCCATATGAAAGAAAGGAGTCTAGGTTGACACCAAGATTTTTGGCTTGCCACAAGAATGGAGTTGCCATTAACTGGGATGGGGAAGACTGCTGGAGGAACTAGTTTGGGGAAGGGGATGTGGGCATCAGGAGCTTAGCCTTGCACATGCTTATAAACAATTCTAGATGCCTATCAAACATCCAGACAGAGATGTCAAGTAGGCAGTTTGAAGTGTGGAATTTAGGAGAAAAGTTCATGCTAAAATAAATTTGGGAGTCATTGGCATATAGATAGTATGTAGAGCCACAAGAATTTAGGAGTAAGTGCAGAGAAACAAGAGGGGTCCAGGTAATGAGCCCTGAAGCACTCCAGCAGCTATTTAAAGGGAACGGAGCTGAGGTAGAACTAACAGAAAAGATTGAAAAGAAGCAATGAAAAAGGAGGAGGAAAACTAGGTGAATGCAGTAGCCTGCAAGCCAAGAGAGAGTATTTCTAGAAGGGGAGAGGCATCAGCAGCTGTGTCAGATGCCCCTGGTAAATCAGTTAAGTTGACGGATGAGAAGGGATCAGAGGATTTAACAGGTAGGAGTCCACTGATAACCTTGAGAAAAACAATTTTTTTAAAAAGATTTTATTTATTTATTTGAGAGAGAGAGTGCGTACAAGCTGGAGGGAGAGAGGGAGGGAGAGAGAGAATCTGAAGCAGACTCCGTGCTGAGCACAGAGCCCGACTTGGGGGTGGGAGGAGAGGGGCTTGATCCCACGACCGTTAGATCATGACCGTGAGATCATAATAGCCAAAATCAAGAGTCGATGCCCAACTGGCTGAGCCACCCAGGTGCCCCGAGAAGAACAATTTTAAGATAGAAATATACAGTGCTTTCAAGCTTTGCTGTGAAGGGAAGGTAAGAAATAACAGTAGTAGCTGGAGAGGGGAATGAGAACAAATTTTTTTGTGTGATAAGGGAAATAATAGTATGTTCCTGTGGTATTGGCAGTGATTCAGTAAAAAGGGGAAAATTGATGCAACAGAGAAGGGGGAGAATTGCTGGGTGGAGTGTTCTTGAGACGGCAAGAGAGGATGGCACCTAATACACAGGTGAGGAGGCTTTGCCTTTCGCTAAGAGCACAGATGGTTCATCCATAGCAATAAGAAAGAAGGTCAAGTGTATGAAAATATATGTAGGTAGTTTGTTACCTATCACCTTCATTTCCACTATGGTTTAAGTCTCTAGCTATCCTCCATGTCCTGTATCCTGAAACATCATTTGTTTACAATAAAGAGGATTGGTACCAGGAAAAAAAAAAAAAAACTTCCCCGAAACAATAGATTACTTGTCATTGCAATGATTAATTCTGGTAACTTGATATTTCAGAATATCTCCAATTTTAAAGACATGCCATAAAATTATCAAAACAAAGTCAATTTTTTAAAAAGATTTTATTTATTTACTTGACACAGAGGGAGAGCTAGCGAGCAAGAGAGAGAGAGAGAGAGAGCGAGCAAGCACAAGCAGGAGGAATGGCGGGCAAAGACAGAGGGAGAAGCA